TACACCTTGGGACTACTAACCTCCAACCCAAGGGGAGAAGCTGTGATTCACTGATTGGTGTCAGTTCACCTCCTGGGCTCTCCTGTGGGGCCCTTGAGTCAAGAACCAGACCCTCACACTGCTCCGGGCGTTCTGCCTACTGCTCCTTATATCCGATTGCACTGTGTGGGGTGCTCTGTACATGTGTTTGACAGTTAAAGAGGACTATACAAAAACAGTTAAGGTTTTCTTTTATTAAGATAAAACTCAAATGGTTAGGTTAGGGTAAGTAACTGTAAAGTTGATGATGACTGAAGGTTGAAGTTGACTAAATTTGCTAAGAAACAAAAAAGGACATTTGACACAATTAAGACTTTTTCAGAAAATTGTGGAAAAAAGCAAAAATATTTAGCAAATAAACTCCAATTCTGTAACTATAGTTCTAAACTTGTATTGCGTGTACAGTAAAGCCTTGCCTGTCCTCAGAACAGTTCTACCTCGTGTTTTATTTTTCCCAAACCAACTTGTAATCATTTTAAGCGAATATTCGGATTGTCGGCCCGCGCGGGGGGGTGTAGTAATCAGCAGTGAATATTCGGATTTTCGGCGCGGGGCCGTAGTAATCAGCAGCAAACCGCTTCAACACATGTATTTTGGTTTTATTCACTGCATTCATTTTGTTATTCTACAGTATTGTTATTTTATAGTTATTTGTTAATGTATACAACCCAATTTGTGTTGTTTGAAATTGAAAAGGATGTTGCATTATGTTTGTTACTTTCGATTAACGGAGAGAACTGATATCTACTTATAAAGACGGAGAAAGCAAACAATACAGTTTATGGTTAAGTGTTAGAACCCCCCGAAGAGGCACAAGCTCTTATACGTTGATATTGGAGATTTCAATAAATTCAATCAAAAACAAAAAAAACAACGAATATCCGAATAACGAAATTGAAACCCGAATAGTACTCCAACGAACGAATATTCGGATATTCGGGTACAGCGTGTCTTAGAATACAGATTTATATTATGGTTAGACAGCTATCTGTGTCTTTTGTTGGTTTGGTGTTCGTGTTATTCATATTCATTAACCAAATTATATTCTACGATAGGGTTTTTACTTTATAGATTATATTGTTTTTAATCTACCTTCCCCCTCTCCCCTCGCATCTATTTTTATGTCTTTCGCTTTTGGCGAAGTTGCACCCATAACTCAAATTATATGTGTTTTCCTTTATATTGTATTAAATTCATTATTATATGTCATATATAGCATTACATATAATATATAATCTCAATATATTTACATTGTTGGTTAAAACTATATAAACTTAACTTTTCCTATAATGTAACACAAACAATGAAAGGCAACTTCAACATATACAGAATACAATAAACCGTACGAAAATAAAAACTTACCTGGTGACGAAAAAAAAACTTCTCTCTATCGCGACAACTGTCCTTCAACGACCAACGATACCTATTGTTTTTGCGACTGCCTCTAATTGCCTCCTTTTCAGATAGATGTATATGTTCTTGCCCTTTCATTTGTTAATTACCAATACCCACTTCACATGGCGGGGGGGGGGGGGGACTTCTCCGGTTAGGGTGAGATTGTACATACCTCTAAACTTTTTTTTCTTCCTTATAGCTTTTGCTTTATTTTTGGTTTATCAATGGTTGCTTGCTTATAAAGCTCTTATTAAGCCTCATCTGTCGGGTATATTATAACGGAAAAGTACGACTTGTATAGTTTCGAGGTCAGAGAGACTCTGTATTACACATTAGACGTATGACGAACTAATAGTTAGTTATTTGGAAATAATCTTTCTTTGTTGTACATGAAAAAGGTCAATAAGGTGACGAACTGTCCGTTCTTAAAGTAGTGGTGAGTCGAACAGTTTGTTGAGATCATACGTCTAAGTTTTCTCATTACGTAACCATGTATTTTGGAACGACGGAGGCCAGTTTTCACCATAGTTCCCAGGCGTCGAAGGAGTACGGTATATTACCACACACCTTTTTAGAGCCTCGTGATCAAATGACAACTTTTTAGGTCGTCTCACTTTGTTTGTTCGTCGCGACGATTTTGTTGACTGGGGTCTGTAAACACAAAAAAAAGAAGAGCCAACGGCACATAATAGAAGGCTTTCCTCAAAAAATAGGTAAGTCGGTTCTACCCATTATTGTATGAAAATGCTAACAAGCCCTTTCACCTACGTTCCTTACTACCACATGAGTTGACATCCCCATCCTTCTTTAGTTTAGACGGACAACCACCAAGAATTTTGAAGCAGATAGTTCCATCAAAAATATTCATCACAACTTATTTTATTAAGGTCAAACTAATTTTTACGACGAAATATAAGACAACCTTTTCACTTTTCAACCTGTAGTGTCAAAAGGCTAACTATCTTTCTGTCCTAATTAAATGACTGTTGCGATAAAGTTATTTAGTAATATGAACTTGTTCTTAACTATGGCGTGTAAAATGGTCCATTCATTCCTTAAGGGTAATGTCTATTAAGTTGTAAATTTCTAGAGAACCGGTTTCTGACGGAATTGAATCCCTCTTTACAACAATTTTTACCCATGTCCTCCTCCTCACTGAATACGAATCTTGAAAAGTGTCCGAACCCCTTCTGTAGGTAGACAACATGACTCAGTGCGCCTGTTAGTAGTTACNGGAGGAGGTGGAGGAGGTGGAGGTGTCGACAAGGGGGCAACTTTTCTGCCCTGGGCCAGACACCGGGTTACTAAACCCATGCGACAGTGGGCAGCCCCTGCAAAACTGCTGAATTAGTTGGAAATGATATAGTCACTCTTATGAAACTAATGTGTCTAAAACTAAAGTATTTCTGTTCAAAAAGCTCTTTATTGTTCTCACACTGCCTGTGCTGCAGCACTTCTTTTCACCCTCTGTCTGAAACCAGAGCCCAGTCTGCTCTGATTGGTTAGCTGGCCGGCTCTGTTGTGATTAGTCAACTGCTTAGGCATGTCCCGCCCCTTAGCCTATCACGTATACAATGTGTTGGAGCGCTAGCCAATAGAAGTGCGAGTGTTACTTAGTGATGTCACTATGTTATAAAAGTAAACGAAGGACACCAAAGGAGGCGTTTCATGCAGAGAAACCCCTTCTGGAGGGAACTTTGGGATTTTAGCCTTTGCAGACCATTTACATGCACAAAACAACACACCACATGAAAGGTCAAAACACCAAAAAGACAGCAGTTAGGCAAGTTTAGCGTAACTGAAGTCTTGTGGTCAAGCAAGTCAAAGTATATCTGGCTGCAAAGTCAAAGGCAACTTGCATTACATCATGAAATGAATTAGAAGTGACACGTTTTCAAGAATTTAAAGGAGATTCCAGTTTTGTGACGTAGCAGTTCTAGAAACATCGTAACAGATTTCCTGAGGAACCCTCAATGCCCCCGGAGCCCATTTTGGTGTAAACCTGTGCTGATGTAATCCATCAAACATTGATGGTCCAGCTGGGTTTCCATTAAAGAAAAGAATCCAAGACAACAGGGCCTCCTCTCTCCCTCTCTCTCTCCCTCTCCCTCTCTCGTTCTCTCTTTGCTTCCTAAGCACCCTTGCTCTGTTTATCCTCAAACATCCCCTCTTGTCAACAGATTAGGCCTGAACCCCGCTGTCTCTTCCTTTCTTCGTCTCCCTCTGCCTCCATCTCTCTGTCTTTTGGCCTGTCTCTTTACATCTGCGCCTCTGCTCTATTCTTGTGACGGGAGAAAAGAGTGGGAGGAGGCGGCGGGGGGAGAAAAGGGAGAAAAAGAAAGTCTGTGTGTGTGTGAAAGAGAGAGAGACGGGACAGGTGCTTGCAGTGCAGGAATTCTCTTGCTTGCTTTGCTTGCATGATCAGGCTGCAAAAATGTTCAGCTCGAGCAGAAGTGCTGTTCAAGAATCGACTCGGAGAAACGGTCTTTTCTCGCATGTGGCAGAGCAGCGCTGGCACGTGGACTGTCAAAATGTAATCCATCACAAATACTATAGTTACATGTACAACAATATAATCAGTAACAGGATCTAAGTAACACAATATAACGGTAATATAATCTGATTACTTTCCGTGACTTTTGGATTACCTCAATATTCAAGGCAAAGCAAATCAAGAAATATCAATAAGATGCTTTTTTCGAGTGTTATAAGTCAACACAACAATGTGTCATCCTAAATCAAGGTAAGGCCTACAAAATACTAAGCTGTTTTAGTTTAAAACTTCAATTTAAAGTACACACTGTATTTGTGTTTAATAAATCAGGTGTCCATCTACTTATAAAATTTTTTAAAATGAAAGTAGCAAAAATGAAAACCAAAAAGAAGTCTACCTGTAATATATATCAAATCAAATCAAGTTTTATTTATATAGCACATTTATAAACGATTTTTGTTCGAGCCAAAGTGCTGTAGATATAATAAAAATAGCCTACAGTAGAGACACTTTACAGCTAATACAATAAGCACAGATTGTTCAGAATATTAGTATGAGAAAAAAAAAAAATAGATATCTTTATTTTAAAACTTTGTAACCCTTTTTTCAGTATCCTGATTACGTAATCTTGTTACATGTCATCCGTTACTCCCAAAGCCTGGCTGGCAGCACAGTGTCAAATCACACACACACACACACACACACACACACACACACACACACACACACACACACACACACACACACACACACACACACACACACACACACACACACACACACATTTACACATACGAGAGGCTGGGTGGTAATTACAGAGGCCTGCAGACGTGCGGCCAGTGATGGAGAGGACTGAGCAGTAAATCAGGCTCTGAGAGGAGAGGCTGTCAGCGGGCAGACACCTGGACGTCTCAGACAGTACGAACACATCAGGCTGCTGCATGTAGCGCACTGAGTTTATACCAATGTTAGGATTGTTTGGTTATTTCACAGATTTCTACATATCTGTCATTGTCTTGGCTTTTCCCGCTGGTTGAAGTGGGCAGGGACACAATTGGAGAAACATTAGGTCATGGAGTGTATGGCCATGGCCCCAATAGTTTGTATTATTTGTGTTATCAATGATATGTGTGATATATCGCTATTCGGTTCGAAGCATTTGCTGTAAGGAAAACTATCTGCAGTGACCCTGACTTTATGACACAATGCCATCATATCCTGTAATATTACAAATAAACTCCTGTGACACAAGAGATGTGTCATACATTATGTGCTAGATCAATGAGTGACCTCTTGTGATTGTCGTCATGCATGCAGTCATTTTTATCTTTTTTCAGTCGGAGCTTACAGTATGTAATGTGTGTATCTCCAATAAAAAATGTTTAAGTGACTTGTTTTTGTGTTTGTCTTTGTCCTTTGAGAAGGCAGAGACACCTGGAAGCCTCCAGACAGGCTGAACACACTTTAGCTGCAGCTGCTGCATGTAGCGGACGGTTTCACCCTGATCATATTTACAGGCTTACACCGGCTCAGCGTGAGACTCTGATCTGCTGCTTCCCATCTTCTCTGCTCTGTGTTTTCTGTCTCTGTTTTTGGTTCGGTTCTCTTCTATCCTTTTCTGCTTTGTTCCTTCTCATCCTGTTCCTTTCCTGTTCTGTTGTTGCTGTTCTGATCTCGGTTCCTTCTGTTCTCTTTTGCTCTTTTCAGCCTTGTTCTTTTCTCTTCCTGCTCCCCTTTGTTTTGTTCCGTTTGATTCTCCATAGCTAGAAAAATCTAACTTTCCTAATTCTTTACCCTTTCATCCTCCAACCAACACTCTCAGTAGCTTCATCCCTAATTAATCTGAGCTCTTTAGAACATTAATTAACATTATGTATCATAGAACATGTAATCTGGTGCATGTTATTCTATTAGTGCTATCGACAAAAGCACCCATTCTTCAACCCAAGATGCTCAGACTGTGCAGATCTTTGCTACATGTATCTGTTTGACCTTGTTCTATAGAGCAATAAAAAACATTTTCTATTCTATTCAGGCGGTGCGCTCCAGTCTGAGGGCTCCTCTGACTGTCTGTCTGGGCAGATCAACGTCTCTGTTTATCACACCAGCGGCCTGCGGCACCCGGGACCCAGGTGCTAACACAGGTACACACACACACACACACACACACACACACACACACACACACACACACACACACACACACACACACACACACACACACACACACACACACACACACAGACACACACACACACTCCACACACACAGAGAGTTGAACTGTTGTTCACGTCAGGCCACCTCGATTAATCACCTCTGTCTTTTCAGCCCTGACTGTCCACCACACGCTCGCACACTCATCCTCGCTCCACTGATATGTGTGTGTGTGTGTGTGTGTGTGTGTGTGTGTGTGTGTGTGTGTGTGTGTGTGTGTGTGTGTGTGTGTGTGTGTGTGTGTGTGTGTGTGTGTGTGTGTGTGTGTGTGTGTGTGTGTGTGTGTGTGTGTGTGTGTGTGTGTGTGTGTGTGTGT